CAAAAATGAGGTTAAGCACTCTAAAACTGAGAAGCTACATAAAGCACTTTCTCTGAAGGAAGCTACCAGCCGATAGCTAGCATTGATGGCTATCTGAGAATACTTTCATAGGCATGAGCAATCAGTAAACAAAAGTAAAACATCTCAGTGCGTGCGAGTGCGCGTGTGCACATACACACACACACACACACACACACACACACACACAGAGGCTAAGCTGAGCTGATCCCCAACAACAAATACCCACTTAGGCCTGGCATTATGCTAGGTCTCATTAAAGTGTCCCCAAAACCCACCTAAATAAGTTGTCTGGTCATACCCACAATATAAAAGAGAAAACTGAAACTTGTAGAGATGACACAAATCATTCTAAATCATGCACATACAATTTAGTGGACCAAGGACCTGAACTTTGGCATATCCACTGCTATCAGTGTTCGCAAATGTTTGTATCTACACCTTACAGAGGCAACCTCTAGTAGTTTTACACATTTCAGTGCCCTGGCTCCAGTTAAGGCATAATTACTTACAAGAGGAAAATGTTGCCCATCAAGACTTAAAGCACCATACCTGAAAGACCAGTCTTCACTGGAACCCCCGGATGGGCTACGTCTAGATCAGACAGCACTCCAAACAGCCTGGCCTGGGTTTTCCAGGTGTTTAATGTTTCTAGTTTCCTAGGCTTGTTTTCTTTAACATATCTGCCAATTCTACTCTTTTATCCATAGTCTACACACTTACTAATTTTTAGATTGACAACTTTAACCAACTTCAAGTTCATGGATCAACCCTAATCTAATGTACGTTTACTTAAGAGATCCACCTTATAAATGTCAACCCAGCCCCTTCCCCACCTTGCTGCCTTGCCTGAGCCAGCCGCCTCTCCCTAAGGCTCTCTTACAGCAGTGTTCAGGCCAGCGACTGACAACTGTGTTACAGAAATCCTCCTAGATCTGGAAGAATATCACTGAGACTAGCAAATGAGCTGGTTGGAAGTGGGGGATATAGAGTGGAAAGCAGAAGCTGAAGAGATAAGGACCCAGTGAACTCCAGGCACCAGCCTCATGCATCCTGCCAAGAAAAGGGTTGAGTTTCTAGGAAGATATTCCTGAAGCTCTCCAGACACTTCATCAAGTACTTACAGAGGACCTACTATGAGTTTGGCACTTTGCTAGACTTTGTTATTACTTGGAATACAGAACCTAGCTAACTAATCACACTGTGTAAGAAAGAAGCAAGAGTTTACACACTCTACTGTGCCACAAAGAGGCTAGACTGGGAGCCTAGACACCAAACTCTTGGAACCAACTCAGCTAATAAGTCACCTTGATAAGATGCCTCACCTTCCCATCACTCAGCTTCTCACTTGCATCCCAGTTTGAAGAGATGCTTGGCAATTCAGTGACTAAGGCCCTTTCCCAGCATGCCGATTCTGAGTCTGGTTTTCTGAAACATTCAGTACCTCACATCCCTTGTTAGAGGATTTTCTCAAGTTCTCCATTTGTTGAGGGGGTGGGGAGTCTTTCTGCTGGAAGAGTTCTTTCCCATTTTCATAATAGAATTATGCACTCCCCTCTGTAGGTCTTTAATCTTCCAACATTTATCCCATCAGCTCTGTCTCTAGTGAGCCCTTATCCCAAGATGTTTGTCTATTAAATTAAGAGTTTTGCAGAAGGGGAGAGCCATTTAAAGGCTGTAAATCACCTGGCAGTCTCCTAGCTGCTCTCTGCTAGGAGCTCCACTGTATCATTCTGCTCTCAGCCTGCCCCCGCCTCCCCTCGGGCCTTGGCTCACAGAGACAGACAGCTGAGTGCGACCTGCACAGGCCTGCCTGCTCCCCAGCCCCCTCCAGATTCCGAGAGCCATGGTGAACTGGGGGGGGAATTGATGGGGAGTTTACACGAGTCCTTGATTAACCCTAAGGAACCCAACTCAACTCAACTTGCCTTCTGGTTCTTTCTTTGCCTCTGCCCTGGTTGTTTTCAATGTGCCCATATTGACACCCAAATTTTGATAACTATTCTTTGATTATATTATTATATCCATGTCTCAGACTTGAGGTTCTAATCAGCATAGCAGGCAATAACACTTCAGACACTCTTGTTTCTTATGAACCAGATACTGTATGTATCTGCTGCCATTTTACATGCAAGTTGGATAATTCAGTTATTCTCCTATTATTGACAAAGAGACTGGGACCAAGAGAGATAAAACAGTGTGCCCAGGTTTTTAAGCACTCTGTGATCAAGTTGCAATTTTAAACCTGAACCTACTTTATACCAAAGTCTGAGATAAACATGTGCTGATTCACAGGTGCTTATTATCATGTGCCCTGCACTGTGCCAAGCTGATCAGAAAACCTAGAGCCCCACAGTCCTAGAGAATATGCTCTGCTCTGAAGTTGTTCTCATTCCTTGGACACATCAGAGGCATTGGTGCAAGTTATTTCTCCTCCTCAGCTTGGCCATGGGATTTCCATATCTGGACCTGCACCCCATGATCTGGGTGTAGTCACTTTCTTGTTCTTGCCCTGTCCATGTCTTTGACTCTTGGTTAATTATCATATACTGTCCCTACACAGGCCCTTAGTGGGGTAAAGTGCAGACCTGAGATGGATTGTCCAAGGGCCCTCCTGTATCAGGTGTCGTTCTCGCCCTGTCTTGTTCCCCCTTGCTCCTCCTTTCCCGAACTTTCCCTGGGAAGGTCTCCAGGTGCTGCCACTCATGATGGCTTCCTCCAGGCTCACAAAAAATCACAGATAAAAATGACATGAAGGATTCATGTATTGTATGTCGAAAAAGAAATAGGGCCAGAAATCAGAAAAGCTTAATATAAATACCAATTCTACCAGTTATGAGATGATTCTTGTCCCATATACACGCTGGGGACTCTCATTATCTATTAAGGGGGCTATCAGAGCCTATGACCACTTGATAATAGATCTGCATGTAGGATGAACTAGAATTCTCAGAATTTCCCTTCTTGAATATTTCCAGTTAGGTCGCACCAAAAGGGAGAGCCTAGGAAACTCCAGAGGGTAGAACCCATGTGTTATTATTGATAATAGCTCACACTTGTTATTATGGATCAGCCAACTCACCTGTGGGCTTCATAGCAGCTCTGCCTGCAACTATTCCAGGTACTCGTGTCTTCTTTCAGCTTCTGCCCATCCTGGGCCAAGTGTGTGTGTGTGTGTGTGTGTGTGTGTTTAGGTGTTTAGTTCTGAGACAAAGAATACTCATGGATTCTGCAGAATTCATCCATTATTAAGGGCAGAGGTAACAAAAACTAATAGGAGTTTCAGTCCTGCATCATGTGTTCCAGCTTATACTTGTGAGTTGAACCTGTTTTCTTTCATTTCCTCACTTGACCTTCACCTTCTCTTCCTGACTGAGCCTGTTGAGCTTTGGGTTCTGGCATGTAAAGGCAACAGCTCTGCTGAGATGCCAGCTCTCACAATTACATAAGCCCAAAACCTCATAACAGGGGCTTTATATGCATGTACCCACAGTATGGGTGTCTGCAGTGAGCCTTTGTGTGTGTATATGTTTCTGCATGTGTGTGCCCAGCAGTTCTTCTCTGGTTGAATACTGACCAATAAAAAGTCACATATGAATTTTCAAAATATCCCAAAACTCAGGAACATAAAAGATTAATGATCAGCTTAGCACATAGGTCTGCAGGTCAGTGGAGGGATTCTTTTCTTCTACCCATAGCATGACTGTTGGTTACCTAAAGTGACTCTAGTCCTCTTGGGTTTGTTCTGGAGCCCAGAATAGTAGCCATGCTGCTGGAAATGACAGAAGTCCAAGGGGACAAGCTCCACTGAGCAGGCACATTTCAACCCCCTGATTATATCATATTTACTAACATCGCATTGGCCAAAGCACATCTCATGGCCAATCTCTGAAACATGAGGGAGAGAAGTACACTCATCTTTTGTGAGGGGATGTGGTGGCTATAGAGGGAAGAATTGAGTCTACAAAGAAAAGACAGTGGTTCAGATCAGTGCCTAGAAACTCGCTTCCACCATTTACCAGCTGTGCCATACACATGGCTGTGAGTGAACAGAGAGGTGGCTCTTCCAGTCGTGCTGCTAAGTGGCTGTAGGTGGCTGGAGAGTCAACTTATAAGTCTGCCTGGAAAAGGGGGTGATAATGCTTATCTCTGGAGTAAGATCACTGGAATTAGATCTTTCAGTGATCCTTTGATTAAGGGGTAAAGAATCATGACTTGATCAAATTTTGAAATAAAGAGTATCTTGTTTTTCTTTCACTCATTTTTTTAAAAAAAAATCATTTCATTTGAAAATGTATTTTAAGACAATTTTAAAATTATAAGTAACAATGAAGAACTGCCTTTAAGCGCTTATGCCCGATCCAATATTCAGTGTGCTTCCCAGTGAAAATCATTGTTGAATTTTTGCTTGTATTTTCACAGATCTTTTCACGACTTAATACATATATGTACTGCACGCACATATACGATTATATTCTTTCATATTGTAGCCTACTCTTTTACTATGCTATATGTCTTGGTCATCTTTCCATTTCAGTCTATGTACATCTAATTTATTCTTTAACAATATAATATGCCCAAGTGTGAATCTACTTCAATATATTTAATGATCTATTAATGATCACTGAAATTCTTCCAGATATGCCTTAACCAACCCAGTGCTGAACAGAACATCTTTGCGCCTGCCTTTGTGAGATTAGAATGCTTTCTGTGGGATAGACACTGAAGAAGTGGTTATACTGAAAAATATTTGCAGTTTCTGAGATTTTAATAGATAACTGCTGTAATGCCTTTCAAAACAAAAATGCCTTCTCCAAATTAAAAACTCACTAACATTACACAGAAGTACTGTTTCTTCAAATCTTCACCAACACACCGCACCATCACTTTTTAAGATTTTTTTTTTTTCTTTTTGGTCATTTTACGAGTTGTCTGGTTGCTGCAAGGGCCATGATGATGAATGGATATCACTAGACAAAGGAGAAAGACACAAGTTCCTTTAATATTAGTAAGAATACAAAACTCAACTGTAGGAAGACTTACAGTGTTCTCTTTACTGAAAGGGCATATTTTGTTGAACTTTAAGCCTGCACAAAGGGATCCTTTTGCAGATGATACTATTCACAGAAAAAAATACTACCAAACCTGCAGAAGCTACTTTGTGTGGCACACACCTACAACCCCAGTTACTCAATAGGAGGTGGCAGGAGGATTGCAAGTCTAAGGTCAGCCTGGACAACTTGATGAGACCTTGTCTGAAAGGAAAATAAAGAAATGAAGGTAGCTTAGTGGTAGAGTGCCCTGGGTTCAAACCTCAGTACTGTTAATAATAATAATAACAACAACAATAATAAAAATAATGCAAAAAACCCTCTAGATTTTGGTAAGGAGAATGTTAGTCACATGTCCTATTCTCTTCAACCTGTGAGTATGTCACTCTATAAAGTGAACAGGAAAATGCTGGTATGATTATGGCTCTAATCTTGAGATGAGATTATTCTGCATTACCTACCTAAATTCATATAACAAAGAACCTTTCCAAGACATAATCTGCGGAAGCTGGGAGTACAGAAGTCTGGGCAGGGAGTTATGCAATGCTGACTCTGAAGCTGGGGGCAGGAAAACAAGAGCCAAGGAATGTGCAGGGTCCTGGGTGCTAGCCTGGAGCCTTCAGGATGGATGGAAAGCTTCAATGTCCAGCAAGAGCTAAGCGAGGCCTCAACTTCAGAACTGTAAGATAACAAATTTGTGTTGTAAATGTCACTATAATTTTATTTATTTATTTATTTTTATTTATATATGACAGTGGATTGCATTACAATTCTTATTACACATATAGAACACATTTTTTCATATCTCTGGTTGTATACATAGAACATTCACACCAATTTGTGTCTTCATACCTGTACTTTGGATAATAATGACCATCACAGTCCATCATCATTAATAACCCCATGTCCCCTTCCTTGCCCTCCCACCCCTCTGCCCTATCTAGAGTTCATCTATTCTTCCCATGCTCCCCCTCCCTATCCCACCATGAATCTGCCTCCTTATATCAAAGAAAACATTCATCATTTGTTTTATTGGGATTGGCTAACTTCACTTAGCATTATCTTCTGTAACTCTCTATCCATTTACCTGCAAATGCCATGATTTTACTCTTGCCGAGTAAAATTCCATGGTGTATATATGCCACATATTTTTTTATCCATTCATCTATTGAAGGGCATCTAGGTTGGTTTCACATTTTAGCTATTGTGACTTGTGCTGCTATAAACATTGATGTGGCTGTGTCCCTGTAGTATGCTGTTTTTAAGTCCTTTGGATATAGACTGAGGAGAGGGACAGCTGGGTCAAATGGTGGTTCCATTCCCAATTTTCTAAGACATCTCCATACTACTTTCCTGCAATTGGCTGCATCAATTGCAGTCCTACCAGCAGGGTATGAGTGTGCTTGTCCCCATATCCTTACCAAAACTTGTTGTTGTTTGTTTGCATAATAGCTGCCATTCTGACTGAAATGAGATGAAATCTTAGAGCGGTATTGATTTGCATTTCTCTTTGCTAGTGATGATGAACATTTTTTCATGTATTTGTTGATTGATTGTACATAATCTTCTGAGAAGTATCTGTTCATGTCCTTGGCCCATTTATTGATTGGGTTATTATTATTATTATTATTTTTGGTGTTTAGCTTTTTGATTCTTCTAACCCTAGAAATTAGTGCTCTATCTGAGGTGTGAGGGGCAAAAATTTGCTCCCAAGATGTAGGCTCTGTGTTTACCTCATAGATTGTTTCTTTTGCTGAGAAGAAACTTTTTAGTTTGAGTCCATCCCATTTATTGATTCTTGATTTTAATCCTTGCACCACAGGAGTCTTATTAAGGAAGGTGGGGCCTAATCCCACAAGATGGAGATTAGGGCCTACTTTTTCTTCTATTAATTGCAGGGTCTCTGGTTATATTCCTAAGTCCTTGATCCATTTTGAGTTGAGTTTTGTGTATGGTGAGAGATAGGGGTTTAATCTCATTTTGTTGCATATGGATTTCCAGTTTTCTCAGCACCATTTGTTAAAGAGGCTATTTTTTTCTCCAATGCATGTTCTTGGCACCTTTGCCTAATACAAGATAGTTGTAGTTTTGTGGGTTAGTCTCTGAGTCCTCTATTCCATATTATTGGTCTACCAGTCTGTTTTGGTGACAATACCATGCTGTTTTTGTTACTATTGCTCTGTAGTATAGTTTAAGGTCTGGTACAGTGATGCCACCTGCTTCACTCTTCCTGTGAAGAATTGCCTTAGCTATTCGGGGTCTCTTATTTTTCCAGATAAATTTCATGATTACTTTTTTTTCTATTTTCATGAGGAATGTCATTGGAATTTTGATCAGAATTGCATTAAATCTGTATAGTGCTTTTGGAAGTATGGTCATTTTGATAATATTAATTCTGCCTATCCAAGAGCAAGGTAGATCTTTCCATCTTCTAAGGTGTACTTTGATTTCTTTCTTTAGGGTTCTGCAATTTTCATTAAAAAAATTTTTCCCCCCTGATTTTTCCAATTTTTTTTTTTTGTTTTTTTTTTTTGAGGCTATTGAGAATGGGGTAATTTTCCTCATTTCCCTTTCTGAGGATTTGTCACTTATACATAGAAATGCCATTGATTTATGGGTATTGATATCCTGATATTTTTCTTGATATCCTGATACTTTGCTGAATTTATTTACTAGATATGGAAGTTTTCTGGTGGAACTTTTAGGGTCTTCTAGGTATAGAATCCTATCATCAGCAAATAGTGCCAATTTGAATTCTTCTTTTCTTATGTGTATCCCTTTAATTTCTTTCATCTGTCTAATTGCTCTGGCCAGTGTTTCAAGGACTATGTTAAATAGAAGTGGTGAAAGAGGACATCCCTGTCTTGTTCCTGTTTTAGAGGGAATGCCTACAATTTTTCTCCATTTAGAATGATGTTGGCCTAGAACTTGGCATAGATAGCCTTTATGATGTTGAGATAATTTTAACTCTAGCAATAGAAGACGAAAACAACCGCTCTCATTACTTATGTGTTGGGGCAGGGGTTCATGCTTATCTGTTTTTGGTTTCTTTACTATGAGACATGGGCTATCCTTCAACCTACCTACTAGGTACAAGGAACTGCCAAAAGTCACAGAGGATATACCCATAGTTGCTATAAGTATTAACTGAAGGTTAATTTACATATATAGGTATCACCTGCCAGGTACAGATGCAACATTAAAACCTGTTTGACTGAATGAAAAAATAATATCTCAATTGAATCAATTGTCATTTATTTAATTATGAAGGATGTTCAACAATTTTAAAAAATAATTATTTAGCCAATTTACAATCACTGGCCTAAAGCTTTGACTAATTAATCAAATATGTAATTTGCTTTGATAATATGATATAATTTGATAATAATTTGTAAAATTTGTATAATTTGTATATATGATTATAATTCATAAAAACTTTTATAAATTTTGTGTACAAATCTTTTATCTGTTTTATCTTTTCTAAATGTTTCCAAGTCCTTCAAATTATTATATATATTCATATATATGTATATAATATATATATATTATATACATACTTAATCTATATGTTGCACATATGTTTGCACAATCTTTGTGTGTGTTTCACACATTTATTATGTTTCACACACATACACATAATAAATCAGTGTTTTTTCTTCTCTGTGTCTACCAGGTATTGTGACTTCAATAAAAAGGATTTCCCAAGTTAGATTTATTTTTATCAATTGTATTCTACCATTAACTTAGGCCTATATTCTGCTCTTTATACATGTGAGACTTCCTCGTGAACATTTTGTGGAATAGGATTCTAACTTTTCTCCCCACATGGAAAACTTTTACGAATGCTGTTTATTGAACAATTCATCATCTGCACATTCGCTCCAGTGTCGTTTCTATAACACACTGCATTTTCAATATGGTTGCGATACTTCCTTGATATCACCTGGATGCACTCTCTTATTGCGCAGATACTACATTGTTTAATTTAGCATGGGATTATGTCTTGCTGTTTAGAAGGACAGAGCTCCCTTCATTTTTCATCTCTTTCAAATGATCTTTATGATTCTGGCCCTTTTCTTAATGTTTCAATTAAGTCTTAGACTAACGTTGTGATGCTTCATTGTCACAAAAGGGCAGGGGGGGCGGGTCCTGGATCATGAACAAAAAAAGGGAAGATTCTAGAGAGAAGCTAAAATGTAGAGGAAGAAGCAGGCGCTGGACAACTTTTCCCTTTGGGGGCTGTCAATGTGAGTGCAGTTTCCAGCCCTGGGGCCTCTGTCTGGCCTAATGCCCAGGGCTGAAGGGGAGTCCACTACAGGCACAGAAGAGTGAGAAGAGCCCGAATTCTCTTCCTGAAAACTAACCAAATCCCTCCTGACCTGTCAACTGCCAGCGTGTAGTGCAGGTGACAAGTGGCCCAGTTAAGGGCAGGGAATCAGAGCCAAGAGGGGAGTGGCTACCTAACAGATTTTGCAATTTAAGACTATCCCATGTAACTTCCTGCTTCAAATAATCATCAACACTGCACAGAGGAATATAACAGAATCTCCAAATCCCTCACTATAATATCCACAGTGTTCAGGAAACACAGATAATTTGTCATTCAAAGAACCCAGAAAATCTCTCCCATTCTCAAGAGGAAGATAATGAGAGGCCGCCCTTTGATGACCTGGATGTTGGAATTAGCTGACACTACTTTAAAGAAACGAAGTCCTATGTTTAAGGAGGTAAAACTTAATATGCTTGCATTGAAAGAAAAATAAGAATTATCAACAGAGGAATAGAAACTATAAATAAGCAAATGAAAATCCTAGAACCAGAAATGACAATCTCCAATACTTTTAAAAAATGACCCAATGAGTTTAAAACTAGTATAAGAATGACAAAGAGTCTGGCATGGTGGCACACGCCTGTAATCCCAGCAGCTCGGGAGGCTGAGGCAGGAGGATGGAGTTCAAAGCCAGCCTCAGCAAAAGTGAGGCACAAAGCAATTCAGTGAGACCCTGTCTCTAAATAAAATGCAAAAATAGGGCTGAGGATGTGACTCAGTGATTGAGTGCACCTGAGTTCAATCCCTAGTATCCCCCCACCCCCCAAAAACAGGAATGACACAAGAAAGAGTCAATAAATATGGAGCCAGAGGAAAATAACCCATTAAGTTGAGGAAGTAAGAACAAAATTAAAACAATGACAAAAAAAAAAAAAAACAGAGACCTGTGAAACAATAACAGAATATCCAGCATATGAGTCATTGTAATTCCAGAAAGGGAAGAGAAAGAATGGATAGAAAGGACTATTTGATTAAATAATGATCAGACACTTACCCCAATTTGGTAAAAAACAAAACCAAACCAAAACAAAACAACAACAAAAAAAAAACATAAGTTTAAACCTTAAGCCAAAACTCACAGAGACACTACGAGAAATAGAAAAGAAAATTATACAATAGTCTTCTTCATGCATACAACACAAAAACACTGTAAAAAGTGTTAGCAAATCAAGTATATTATCTAAAAGGGATAATTTGTCATGACCATGAAAGGCTTATCCCAGAAATGCAAGATTGATTTTATCTTCTCTGAATCATCCACTTTAAAATGGCTAATTTTATTCTTTGCTTATTTTATCTCAGTTAATAATTAAAAATGCATATAATTCACCATATTGACAGAATGAAGTATAAAAGCAGAAAAAGGATTTACACAAACTTTAGCATCAAATTATGATAAAACAAATGAGGAATACAAAGAAACTTATTCAAGTTAAGGACATCTAGGAGGCTTACGGGCAAATCTGTAGGGTGTCACATTGAACACTGCTGTCCTGAGAACCGGGGCAAGGCCAGGAATGACCCTCTGATCATTTCTATACAACATGGCTCTGGATATCCTAATTATTTGCAATAAGAGGAAAACAATGTAAATGGCATAAAAATAAGACAGAAAGAGGTGACTTTACCTGCATGAAAAAATTGATAAGATTCTTATCAAAGAAAAATGGCAGGAATCTAAAAAATGATTAAAAGAGGTAGCAAGTACATTTACCAAGGTTGCGGAATACTAGGGTTTGTTTAAATAAAAAAATGAATCATAACCAGTATGTGCCTCTTAAAATAACCAAAATCCAGAACATTAACAACATCAAATATTGGCAAGGATGTATAACAGCAGAACTTTTATTCATTGATGGGAATGCAAAATGCTACAATCACGTTGGAGGAGAGTTTGATTATTTCTTACAAATTGTACCATACAAACATAGTAATGATGCTCCTTGGTATTTACTTAAAAGAAGTTGAAAACTTCCGTCCACACAAAATGCTGTAGATGGATGTTTATAGCAGTTTTATTCATACTTTTCAAAACTTGGATGTCCTTTAGTAGGTGAACGGATAAATAAACTGTGATACCGTCAGACCATAGAATATTATTCAATGCTAAAATGAAAGGAGTTATCAAGCCATAGAAAGACGTGGTGGAAACTTCAAGGCATTTTGCTAAATGAAAGAAGGCAATCAGAGAGAGTGACATACTGTTGTATTCCTACTGATATTCTGGAAAAGGCAAAACTCTAGAGATAGTAAAATGATCAGCGGTTGCCAGGGATTGAGGATGAGAGAGATGAATGCACAGAGCATACAGAATTTTTAGGGCAATGAAAATACTCGGTATGATATGATAACGGTGGATACATGTCATCATCCATTTGTCCAAACTCCTAAAATGCCCAGCACCAAGGGCGAATCAGAATGTAAACTAGAGAGTCTGGATTGTAATGATGAGTCAATAGAGGCTCATTAATTCTGGTGGAGGACATTGATCATGGAAGAGGCTACGCATGTGAGGGCGGGGGGCGGGGGCAGGAGGAAACTCTGTACGTGCTGCTCAACATGGCTAAGACTAGGCTAAAAATGAAATTCACTTTTAAAAAAAAAGTAGTTTACATGTAAAAATTCATGAAACTGTATATTTATAATCCCTGCAGTTTCTGCATGAATTACACTTCATTTTTTTAAAAAAAAATCAAGTGCATTATTATATACATAACTATGTAAAAATTAGATGATGAAACCCAAAGCAATTTTGCCTTGTAAGAACATCAGCATGTAAAATATTTAGGGAAAAACAAAAGTCTCACCAAAGTGCAAGATCTCTATTCTGAAAACCTACGAAATATCGCCGAGAAAAAACTTAGAAGATAAATGATCAACATTCTGACACTGACATTGAAATAGGCAAATAAATCAATACAAGAGAGAGACCAGAAATAAACCCACACTTACAGAGTCATTTGTTTAGTTTTTAACAAAAGGACCAGAACAATCTGATGTATATATTTCTCAATTTGAGATGGATTGCAGACTCGAACTTAAAAGCTAAAAACCATAAAACTTTTTAGAAGTAAATAGAAGAGATTATCTTCATGATTGAAGATAAGCACAAGTTTCTTTAACAAATTGGTACCACAAGAGAACAAACTTGAAAATAAGACCTCAAAAATGTTTAAAAAGTCTTCTCATCTTGAAGAAATCATTAAGAAAATGAATAGACAAGTCATAGAGGGAGAAAATATTCATAAATGTTCAAAAAGAACTGTTATCCAAATACATAAATAATTCCTTTAACTCAATAATGAAAAGGCAAACAACTCAAATAAAAAAGCAAGCACAATATTTGTATACTCTTCACATACACACACAAAAAATATAGGGCTTTTTATTTATTTATTTATTTTCGTATATTCTTTGTATGGGCTATTGAGCAAGTGATAAAATGCTCAATATCATGAGTTATGATGGAAATGCAAAAGAAACCCACAATAAAATACAACGACATACCAAAGAAAATGGCTAAAATTAAGTGTGTTGGTACCATTGGATATCAGCAAGGATGTGGGATGTTAACTGTCTTGCACTTGTGGCAGGAATATAGAGTCATACTATCATTGCAGGCAAAATTTAGACAGATTCTGATAAATATTTCCATAAAGATATTGATTCTGATAAAGATATACTTACCTTATACCTACCCTATGGTCCAGAAAATCCAATATTAAGAGAAATTTCAGGGTGCATGCACACGATGACTTCTCTGGGAATAAACACTGAAGAATTACTCAGATAGCCAAAAGCTACAGCTGATTCAGATGTCCATTAGTGTCGTTCAGGGATGGACCTTATGGTGTGTGTCCATATAGTGAAAGATAACCTAAGGATGCCTCATGACTGTAGGCTTTGTGAAAGAAGCTTTATTTTTTAAAGGTATATATTCTATTAGTGTTTTTATATGATGTTCTACAGTGGGTAAATATAATCCTTCATGGAAATGAAACCAAATGTGCATCTAGGGGGAGGAGGAGTCCAGAGATTGAATTCTATATTTGAGAAGGGCTTGGGTCACATACATAATATCATTTTTCAAATCCCAGCACATACATCAATATTTTCACATTGCATTAAATACAAATTTATAGCAAAAGGTACTTAAATATGGAGACCTACTAGTCATAGGAATACTGAAGTTTTTAAGAATGAATATATGAAGGCTTTCAGTTACCTTTGTTCCACTAATAAATAATGATAAAGGAGTTGTTTAACAAGTGGATAGACATGTAATATTAAATGTTAACGGTACTGTGGAAAATAATCTGGAAGTTCCTCAAAATGTTGAACATAGGAGTTCAGGGTGTAGCTTAGTTGGTAGAGTACTTGGCTAGCATGCATGAAGTCCTGGGTTTGATCCGCAACACTGTTAAAGACAAAGAAAGAAAGAAAAGGTTACTCATAGGGACATAGTATCATGTGATCCAACAATTTCATTTCCAGCTATATCAACAAGAGAAATGAAGGCATAAATCCACAAAAAAATATACAAAATTCTCATAGAAACATTATTTTTAAAAGTTATAATGTGGAAACAGCTTGTGTCCATTGATTATGAATGAACAAATATAAAGTGGTATATCCATTCTATGGAATATTATTCACTCATGAAAATGATAAAGTAACTGAAAGAAAACCTAGTCATGAAAGGTCCCATATTATGTGATTCCATTTTTATGGATATCTAGAAGAGACACAAAGTAGACTCCTGGATCCCTGAGTCTAGACAGTGGTAGAAAGGATACCAGGAGTGAGGAAGAAGGGGTTGAGAGTAGCAAGGGGAGTGACTAATAATGGGTATGATATTTTCAAGGGAAAGTAGTAAAAATATTCTGAAATCAATTGTCGTCACAGCTCTGAATACATTTTTAGAATATTGATGTATACACTTTTACTAGATGTGTTGTATACTATGTGAATTATATTTCATTAAAGTTGTTAGTGTAAGAGTTGCCAATGATTACACCTTGCTGGTGGATACACAGGTGTTGACCATAAAGTTACTTTAATGTTTCTGTATACTTAAAAACTCTTAAAAATAAAACAATCTTAATAAGCTCTGAATTGTGATTATCTTCAGTGTAGAGATAATGTAAAGTAAACAGTTATCTGCCCACTACTGAGTCTTTCTGGTTAGGAATAGATCACCTCCTGCTACCCTGCTTTCCAGCATCCTTAATATATATGATCTTGAGTTCCAAGATCTTATATATATTAAGATGGGCTTTACATGCTCCATCCATTCAGCTGTTTTCAATTTGCATGATCCCGAGGCCCTTCAGCTCTGGGATACCTGTCTCTGAATTAACTTCTTTCAAGCTCCCAAGTATAAAAGGAATGGAACAGTATGGCCCGGGTGAGGCCTGCTCAGCACTGAGTAGACAGGAATCACACTTTAGACATTATACTATTGACACAACCTAGAATTATGGTGTCTAGCAACCACAGCTCACTGCTATAGAAACCAAAACCCTCCAGCCCATTTCCATGTATTCCTAAATACATGATGCTTCTCCCATCTATACCTACCTGAAAGATTCTTTAAAAAAAAAAAAAAATTCAAGGACTTTCCTCCGCAAGTGTTTTCAGAGGGCTGTGTGTTTGGATGCCTGGTTTAGTGGCCACCTACCTTTGAGAAAGCTGCTTTCCTGGATTTGCGTCATTTTCGTGATGAATAAGGCATGGAGAATCACTCTCAGCTGGTAGCGATATTCATAGACTTTCCAGATTGGAAGAGACCTTAAAAGACCGTCTCATCCCTCCTCCTGTCGTCAAGCATGATGATATCTACACCCATCCTCTTCAGAGAGAGAGGGCAGCAGCTGTCACCAATCTACCCAGATCCCCAGGCTGTCCCTCTGTGACCCAGCCTCAGGTTAGCATATTCCCGTTGATTAAGAGTTTTGAGAGCCTTGGATGAATGCACTATTGAAATTAGCAGGAAGTAGTGGAAATAATTTGCCTGCACTCAGCGTCTTCTGCCGATAGCATCTGCCAAACTAGTGGGATGGCGGGCAGGCAGAGACGCTGTGCGCACCATGGGTGCTGAGGGGGCTCGGAGCTCCCTGCACCCCAGGCAGATAATGACGCACGCCCAGCCCTCCACTTGGAGAGGAGGCTATGAATAGTGCTCCACCTCACCATGTGCTGCCCATAACCCAGGGAGGGAAAGATTTCTGAAGAAAGTAGGTCAGCCTAGTTCCTAGAGAGAGGGTCACTTCCCCTATGGCCTAGGCCAGTCCCAAGACGGAGAGTCTCTTACAGAGACTGGCATTGCTCTACACGGGGTGGAGGGGGTTCTCTTTCTCACTCTTACTACTCATGTCAATTTCTTATATTTTTGCCAGAGAGTAGCACAGAACTGGAAGCAAGATGTGGGTCATGAAATTCCAAAATTGGCCCTTGAATTATGAGATTGCAGAAAGCATCACTTACCCCCGAGATGCGTATTAATTACCGTGTCAGTTTTAACAAGCATGCCTGAAAATTTTTTGAGACTCTTCCCTCCTGGAGATGGTGCTTCATTTCGCCTCCCTCTGAGGGTAGGCAGGACTTACTGATTCGCTTCTAACAGTTGGAGTGTGACAAGGGAGAAGTAGTAACTTTGCAATGGAGGAAACTGGCAGACAGGACCTCAGCCAGACAAAGTTAGCAGCCATGGTAAGTAACATGCTATTATGGACTTGGAACTGGCTTTGTAGGTGGTAACTTAGATAGCTACAGTATTTCCATGTGGGGTAGAGGCCCATGCTTGGGCTTTTTAATGCTGGGCTTTTGATGTGTTGTGTCTTTGAGCAGGTGAGACACACAATATGCATGTCTAGCATTCATTGCCATTTGATTCACATATTGAGATTTAGGATGTCCCCCATCACAGGATTCCAATGGGCCCACAGTGCAGAGAAGTTCAGTGAGACCCAGAGCAAGTACCAGGTAAAATTTAACACATTCGCTTACATCTAGGATTGAATTTGCAGGGACACTGACATCCCTTAGAAGTCATTCTTCCTTTGGAACTTGCTTTGAATGCAGAAGCCAGGTGAGGGCGTTCTATGAGACATCAATGAACATGAAACTCTGTTCCATCCTTTCCTACTCCTGTTACTTCCTCTTACAACCCACGGCTTATGCCGAAGAGAGAGAGAGAGAGAAAGAAGGGAAATGAAATGTAGGACACTCAATGTTCCTTTCGGTGTTAGTCCTTTCTTTTTCATCAGTAAACCAAAGGTAGAAAATGTTAGTAGAGCGTGTGCCTATTAAGAAGCAACAGAAAAATAGTCGATTTAGTTTTGCACAGCATCTTTGCTGGTTTGGTAAGAACAAAATGCATACAAGCGCAAACTTCAAAATACAAAATTGTGTAATTTGGGGTACTACTGCATGAGTTAATGCTCCTATATTCCCATTTAAAACTGTCATTGCACAATGCAAAGATGAATGATAAAATTCATGCTAATAATTTCAAATGCTGTTTTTTTCTTTATTTAGAATGGCATTAAATAGCAAATAAAAATCAACATGACAAGTTGAGAGAGAAATTGTTGAGGGAAAGGAAATGCTTTGTATTACAGTAAATTTACATTTTTCCCCCTGATGTTTGAATAGGAAATTTCACATTTTCCTTTTGCACTCGGCTCCCAAATCTATGTGCCTAGATTCACATGCACCTCTGAAATCGCGTGATCACCTCTTTGACATCCCTTCCAAAAATACTTAACTACAGCTTAAGTAAGTGGCAGACAAATCTAAATTGGTGGATATTCTTAAAATACCTGAAAAGTAGTCTTCACATCATCAAGGTCACAGAGGCAAAAAAAAGACCAAGCATTTGTTATAGATTAGAAATTAGGGAGAAATGATGACCCAACGTAACAGTGTATCCTCAAAGACATTCTGGGACAGAAAGTGAATATCAATTGAAAGACTAATGAAATCCAAATAAAGTCTTTTTTTTTTTTAGTTAATAAAATTGTATTTGTGTTCATGTCTTAGCTTTAATAAAGGTGTTACAGGTATGCAGGTTGTTATCATGAGAAGCTGGTTGGCAGTGTACAGACACTATGTCCTCTCTTAGCAACTCTTCTGTAAGTCTAAAACAATTTCAGAACAGCAAGTGTCTTTCCTAAGCATTTATCCCAGGTCCACCCTGGGCAGAACCCAATGGTGGATGTGTTCCTGAACATACTCTTTAATCCTCACACCAGCATGATAATGCATGAGCTCTGTTTTATAATAAACTCAGAGCACCACAGGGACCATCTGTTTTGGTCAGCTTTTTCCCATGCTGCGACCAAAAGGCCTGTCAAGAACAATTAAGAGGAGGAAGAGCTTATTTGAGGGCTCACAGAAGTCTCAGTCCACAGAAGGCCAGTACCATTCCTGGGGGCTTCAGGAAAGGCAGAACAGCCTGGAGGGAAAGTGTGGCAGAGGAAAGCTGCTCAGAACATCACATCAGAAAGAAGACAGACAGAGAGACAGACAGAGACAGAGACAATAAGGACAAAATGCATACCTCAAGGCATGCCCCCAGGGACCAGAGATCCATAGCCTCCACCCATACCCCACTTGCCTACAGTTATCACCAAGTCAATCTCTGATTAGGAGATTAATGTAGTGTTTAGGTTAAACCCCTTATAACCCAGTCATTTCATCTCTGAACCTCCTTGCATTGTCTCATGTATGAACTTTGTTTCTTTGTGCACCAACCTTATTATCTGTCCCTCCTTGTCTCCCCAGTAAAATCTGGTCATGAGCCTTAGAAACCAGGGTCTCACTTATCTTGCTTCAGTGCCAGAATTATATTATTTTGCACCATATTGCTTTACACATGAAACTTCTCTCTAAATTTAGCTTCTCTCTGATCAGTAAGCACAGTCTATATTTTCTCGGCTTTATAGCCAGATTCATATTACTCCCACTTGCCTACCTTTTTCTTCTCTGTTCACTCGAAATTTCCACAAACCCAAATCTTACTTGATCTTCATGGCCCAGCTCCAGTGTTCCTTTTTCATTTATACTTCTTTTATCTTTCTTTGGAACGATGGTCTCCTTCCCTTTCCTTAAATTCCACACCCTTATGTGAAATTGTATGTGATTAATAATAACAGAAAATGATAACAACATGGTTCAGAATTTACCATTTTGGAGCACTGGCCTAAGTTTTGTACACTTATTACCTTATTGAATCCCTGATAATAGTCCTATGAGGTAGATGTAATTGCGATCTCTATTTTATATATAAAAAACTGAGGCTTGACACCTGTAATTAAATAATCCAAACTCATAGAGCTACCCATATTACCATAAAGTTACATATTTTCTGAATAAAAGAATTATTTTCTTAAATACTTAACTGACAAAATTTATTCAAGGTATAAACCATGCCGATTTGATGTATGCATACACTGTGTAATAATTACAACTTTTTAAATTAACATCTACCACTACTCCAGAATTCATATTTTTGATTTTTTGTATTTTTCTTTTCAGAGTTCACATTTGTGGTGGAGACACAAAATCTGCTCCCTTATCAAATTTCAGGTAAACAATATAGCATTAATAACTATAGTGACCACGTTGTATTTTAAATCCCCCAAACTTATTCAAATCACAACTGGAAGTTTGTACCCTTTGACCAACATCTCTCCATTTTCCATATCTACCTACAAGCAACCATTTTTATGTCTGCTTCTATGAGCTCAGTGTTTTTTAGATTCCTTAAAGGCCAACTGATTCAATCAGACACCCAATGCTTGGATTGATTGATTGATTGACACATATGGAGAAACTTAAACCCAGAGAGCTGAAATTGTCTTGTGTCAGGTCACCAAACAAATCCCTACTAGAGAGGCAATAGATCCCACCATTCCAACACACGACACTCTCCAACATGGCGGGCTGCAGCCTCATATATTTTTTGCCGTATGAGTATCCTCAGCTTACCAGGGTCATTGGCAGAAAAATCAAAGCAAGTAAAGGATAGTTCACAAACCATCTTTGCTCTGGATGATTTATGATTTATGGTAATGGGCCCCACTTCGTAGTTCCCAGTCAAGCAGCATCAGTATCACCTGGAAACATATTTGAAGTGTGTATTATTGGGTCTTATCCCAGACTAACTAAATGAGTATCTCTGGGGGGTTGGGGCTCTGGAAGCTGCCTTCCAGTCAATTGTGCTATTGGCTAAAGTTTGAGAACTACTATACTAGGGCAGGTTCTAAGGCACAGATCAAGATGTATGTTACCAATGGCAACAATTCTGTCAGTGCTGGGCTCTTCTAGTTGCATTGTTTGTTTTGTTAGACACCTGGTTTTCTCTTCCTTAATAGACCTATTCGTCCATTAGCATCTGAGTTGGAGGAACAGGTGAGAGGAGCATTTGCAGCTGAAGCAGGGTCAGCTTCTTGGCTGTGGCTCCGTCAGATCTATTCTTCTCTTCCCTTTTGGGTGAGACTTGCCATATGGGTTCCCAGTATCAAAAGGTTAATGCAGGAAATATGAGGGATTCCTTTTATGGGTATCAGAAACTTTTATATATTCTTCCGGCTTTTTTTTTTGTTTTTTTTTTTAATGCAGCTGTGCCTTGATTTTCTTACCCTCACATGGTCGATGATTGAATCGTGTTTCAAATTATTTACTTCCCTGTAATAGGATTTAATCCACATTCTTTGCTTTTGCAATGCCTCCATCTGTGGCAGTAATCTGCTTCTCTGCCCCACTGATGTTGATGTTGTCAGAATGACTTGGTTTGATCAATGTAATATTAGCAGGTGTGACATGAGGCTTTAAACTCACTAGTACTCCATTTCTGTCTTAGTCCGTTTAGGCTGATACAACTAAAATACAGTGACTAGGTGGCTTAAATAATATCCATATATTTTCACACTTTCAGAGGCTGCGAAGATCAAGGTGCTAGTGTATCTGGTGATTGGTAAAGCACTAGTTTGCAGCTGGCTGGCTGATTATTACATCCCATGTGACAGAGAGAGAGAGAGAGAGAGAGAGAGAGAGAGAGAAGAGAAGAGAGAGAGAGGAGAGGAATCAAGCTTTCTAGTGCCTCTTCTTATAAGAACACTAATCTTATTGTAAGAGCCCTACTCTGATGACCTAACTATCTCCTGAAGGTCCGATCTCCTAATACCATCATATTAAGGATTAGAGTTTCAGCTTATGAAACTTAGGGGGGCACAAATACTCAGTTCAGTCCATAATGCATATCCTATAACTATTAATATCCTAGACTCATGTTATGGTTTCGATTTGCAGTATCCCCCCTCACACACCACTCACACACAAAGCTCATGTGTTAGGCAATGCAGAGGTAAAAAGACTGGTTTATGAAGGCTCTGATCTCATCCATAGACTGATCCATTTAATATATTAATTACTAGAAGGGACTATCAGGTGGTAACTATAGGCAGGCAGGGCATGGCTAGAAGGAGTATTCACTGGGGCAGAGTCCTTGGTGACTGCATCTGTCCCAGTACCCCTTCTCCTCTATTTCTCTACTTTGTGACTGGCATGAGCTGAGCTGCTTTCCTCTCCCTCACCTTTCTGCCATAATGCTCCATCTTTACTCAGGTCCAGAGCAATGAAATTGTCCTAATTTGGACTGATAAATCTGAAACTGAGCCCCAAACAAACTTTTCCTCCTCTAAGTTATTCTTGTCAGGTATTTTGGTCACCATGAAAAGGTAACAACACAACCCACCATTAGAAGAGCGCGCTATCACAAAGGAAAGCCCGGGGCATCTGGATCATGCCTGGAGTGGGGCTCAAGCGGTCCCAGCTGAACCACCGCCAACTCAAAGGGACATGAACGAGAAAATAAATTTCCTAAGCCATTGAGCTTTGGATGTGTGTTGCTCTCCGTAACTAAGATGGTCTCAGGACCTACTGCAACCAAACCTCCCAAGAGAAGAAAAATAAAACTTGTCCCAGGCTCCTCCATAAAGAAATCTTAGAATTTGATGATGATGATAATCATCATCATCACCATCATCATCATCATCATCATCATCATCTGAGAATGTACAAGTTGAGGAAAGACCATTGTTCCCACAACTAAAACTGACAGAACTATCGTGTAAATGTTAAAGAAACTAGAGAATCACAGATGCCAATAAGAATCAAAGGATTAAATTCCCAAAAGAGTTGAACCCTTCCTACCTGAGTAGGGAGGGGCTGCTTTCTTTTCTGGCAGCTTCTACCATGTCTACTCATGAGGGAGTAGAAAATTCCACCTTCCTTAAGCAGAGGATCTTGTATGGATCAAGGATAAACAAAACAAGCAAATAAAAACCCCACAAAACCCGTTTACTGTCATATGACCTTGTGTGACAAATTGGATTGAAATGTATGGGACCCCACCCCACCCCACCCCAGCCGACCACACGGTGCAGTTCTTCTCAACATCTATTCTTCCCTGCATGAAATGTTCTGGATGAATGGTCAAATTGAAGGCGACTCAGCTCTGGGATGGAAGGAGAGCAATCTCTCTTCATACTGGGATTCTCAGAGCTCTGTCCGACAGGAGAAGGAGGTCAGTAGTACACATAGGATGTATCCTGACCACAGACATTCAAAACCAGAGGTGAAGAAAAAGTAAATAAAGCTGCAATCCAGAGGTGACCAAACTCACCTCATGGTTACATTTAATTGACATCAGCATCTCTTCCTCTAGTTCACTGACTTAGTAACAGATTTGCCCTGTGGGATAAAATAACATACTTTCTGTAATTGCTATAGTTGTATAAAACCAGTATCTAGCATGCAGGGAAATGTCATGCTATGCAAAGGAATAGTAAACTATTACCCATAAACAAGAGGGGACAAGAATCAAACAAAAAGGAGACCTCGATACTGGGTTTAGCAGAGAATGACCTTTAAAAAACTATTGCAAAAATGAAGGGAATTTAGAAGAATGTAAAAAAAAATAGATTTGGGAGCACAGAAATTACACGAGGAAAAATAATCTCTAAAACAGATGCAAAGAAATATTCTTAAGCTGAATGTACAGTATCTAAAACTAGGAATTAATTGGGTAGGACTAACAGCAGACCTGACACAACTGAATAAAGGAACAGTGAATTCAAGGACAAATCAATAGAAATTATCCAACTTGAAACCCACGGAGGTAAAAATAATGAAAAAGACACACGTGGAGCAGTACAAATGATATAATTGGAGTCCCAGAAGGAGACAATAGGACGGAAGAAATATTAGAAGAGATAATGATCAAGGAGTTTCCAAAATTGATGAAATAGACCAAACCATAGATTCAAGAGTATGTTTGAAACCCAACCAAGTTGAAGGTAATCTTAGCCAATTTCAAGGTGCCAGAGATGATCCCTGGGAATCTAATTTCCCTCTTGCACCTGAACTCACAGTTATGGGTTGACATTCTGACTCCAGTGGTTCTCAAATTGACTTAGGGCAC